AAATTAATTTATCCAGATAATTTATGACTTATTTAAATATTTCACTCTATTCAAATTTTCCACGTTTACAATGCAAATAAAAACAACAATTTCAATTTCATGTATCAATAGGTACATAAGCACAAATTTAAACTGCAAAGCGGGCTCCCGTTACAGTTTGAACTATAAACGCTCCCTATTTAGATAATAAATATATTTCTAGATTTTGTAATCGATGATTATCTAGGTCGGTGAATGTTCTTAATTTAATTCTTCTATAACTGTTTTTTTTAAATTGGTCTTTTGCAGCTAATCCTTTTGGCCCTTTCACTGAAGGCTGACCATTTTTTAACAATCTAACCACTTAGTATGGTTCTGTTTGCAATTGGATCGCCTCTTCGGAATTTGTTTTATCAAGCGTTTTACTTTAAGCACTATGGGTGGTAGTATTGATGCTGTAATTTTGAAACAAATAAAGTTATTGGATGGATCATTATATGCCTTGAAGAAAACAAAATTATCCTTCTAACGGTATCCTACTTGACCGGAAATGTGTATCGGAAGTAAAACAATTGACGTCACTAATCTCGCCAGCCTGTTTTAAAAGCATTAATGAAATATATCGATCGAACTTTCCCTTTCGCTTACGATCTTTGCCATTGTCAAAATCTATATGTATAAACCAATTTATTTTGGAAAAAGACGAAACGCTTTGTCTCAATTCCCATGGCAACGAGCCTCCGTATGCACGGAAAATGTTATAGCGCAATAAAATGCGTACCTAATCTAAATATAGATACGCAACCAATCTTGTGTGTGTGAATATTTGTTTAAGCATTGTATGGAAATGAATTATTTCATTTATTCATAACCCAAGTTGGTTTTTAATTTAACCATACGGAAGCTAAAAGGGAATTAGAAATATAAAGTACCAATCGCGGTTTAAAAATGAAATATTATTTCAGATGTAAATGGAATAAATTAATATTTATACCTACGACGTTACGTGTGTATATTCCGTGATAAGGGTAAATGAAGCGGGTCATTGTAATTAAAATAAGAGCAAAGAGAGCGAGTGGACCACGTCTATCGTAAATTCGTAACCGAATGTTAACTGACAAAAAGCTTATCATAGCGCGGAGTAGGTACTTATACAATTCATCGTTGCGAGATAAAGTGCTTATTGGGGCATAATTTACAACGGCGATACCTATAAATATGAGTGTAAATAGTGGGAGAGTAGCATCCGTCAAGCGACTGCAGGCGATCTCAAATTTACACTGGTCGTTTTCGCGGAACGTGTTGTGCATTTTCCAAATTAAACCGTCCACTGGGCGGATCCCTAAGCCAAAAGCGAGCCATCGAACCATCGGCGTATCTCAGCGGTGATTCTATAGCGCATAGAGCGTCCAATTTCAACTCCAAATCGAAGAAACTGTCTCAGCGAGGATTCTATAGGCGGTCCGTGCAGAACATCTTATTTACGCGACGTTTTAATAGGGCCCCTTTGGACTAGGGCCATAAGCACGAGCTTGTTCTGCTTGTACGTAAATCCGGCCCTGCTCGCGAATTGGCAAAGATGGGACGTTGATAGCGAAGTTTGCGTTTGTTCTTTTTTGGCTCGGCAACTACAGCTTAAGCAGACAGGCGCGCAAGCAGTACTCGAAAGTACAATTCTTCCGCTCGAAATTTTGTTAATCTCGGAAGAAACCCAGTTAGTGTAAAAATTTGCCAAAAACCGATAACTGTCAGTGAGCTGGAATTTTATCAAGGGTTGTATAGTTACATAATTGTATTTCGTAAAAACAGCGGAAATCGTTAGAATTCAGGGATCGTTTTGATTAATAAATAACTTGAATGCGTAAGTAAAACAATTTCGATGGTTAGCCTTGAACTAGTTTTGCTTTGTTCATGCGCTAGTAATAACCAAAATTTCCGCTTTAAGCACAAGTCATACTATATGTATCCACACCGTCACGTCACCTACCGGTAACGTAACATAAAATATTCTCGTTGACAAATCTTATTTTTACCCAAAATCGTTATGAAACCTTAATTTTCATGCCTACTTTATCTCAGGAAAATGTTTCCATGACGGAGGCAGACCAGTCTACTTTTCCTGCCGCCTGTCACTTTACTGGCCGCACCTGTGGCTTTACAGGCCACACTTGTCACTTTTCCTGCCGCACCTGTCACAGTAAAATGACATTACTTGACTCGGAAAATAAAATAC